GACTTACATAGCCTTTCTGCCCATTCTGTATACTTTATCGAATAATAACTTCAAATCCATCACCAGGGGCCAATCCGGTGCCACATTGACATTACAAAGCATGCTCAAGGCTATATAGTGCAGAAACAGCATTTGGTCTCCCCCCACTCCCACCCCCTAATAAAAACCAGAGGATGCAACTTCTTGTGCAATATTGTAACCAGGGTGAGAGACACATGGGCGGAAATACAGATGGCAGGAAAATAATGTGCATTTTTGAATGCTTTTTAAAAAGGATTACAAAATAGAACATTTTTAAGTAGTTTCAACATTTCAGGCAAGGCTGTAAAATAAGATGATTCATACATGTAAGTAGTCCTTAACTTATGACCATTCAGTGACTGTTCAAAATTATGATGCACTAAACCACAGGTCTTCAAACTTGGCAACTTTAAGACTTGTGGACTTCAACTCCCAGAATTCTCCAGCCAGCATAGCAGGGATGGTAGGCACGCTGGTGCGCTTATGCATGCCCCCTTTAAGGACCTCTTAGGAATGGGGTGAGGTGAGGTCCACGGTAGACAGTTTGATTTAGATGATGGTAAGGAAAACAGAAAGTTTTAATACTCAGCTAATTAAATTCAAAACAGGTTTGCAGGAAAAGTGAGCTTAGAAATATTTAGCATTGTGAAGAGCAACAGAACGGAGTGTCAACTTTTCTCGAAATAAAAACAGAACTTAAACACATGGACAACTTTTATCATTGTTGCCTTTTTCATTTGTCCTTTCATAGAACAAGTGATAGGCAGGAACTTTTGATCAGTGAACCAGTTATGTATGGGCTTTAAGCAGACTATGTAATAAAATTTAGTATATACAAGGCATCAACAGTAAATATTGCAATTCACACACATGCACAAACCTAAAGAATATCAGTGCTGCCTGGTTGGATTAAGCCAAGATAATTTATTGCTACTCACGCTGATTTACTGTCCTCCAGATGATAGTATTACCAATTGGGAATTCTGAGAGCTATAATGCCATTACAGTCCATCTGGTTGGAAAAAGCTGGACAAATCCCAACAAGCTATTTCGCTAACAAGGAACTAGACGTCTCTAGCAAAGCACATATAATATATGGTGATTTGTCCCCAGTGTCTGAGAATCAGAAAATAATCATGTAAGATATCTACAGCTATCATGTCCAGTAACTGATGATTTGTTAATTCCCTATGATGTACTTGGCTTGCAAAATTGTGCTATTTTGTTTAGGTGTGAACAGGCATATGTGTACATCAAGAGGCAACATTATCCTCAACATTAATTAATAGGGTTCTATGATAATCCAAGTATAATTTTCATACAGTAAATTTTTCTACTTCTTCCCCTTCCATGAGGAATCCTCCATGCCTGGCCAAAAGCTGTTTCATAGGATCCCAAACAAAAAATATTTGGGGGACATTTACCAGATTTTTAAAGAGATGAAGAGATGCTCTCTGTTCCACCCATGGGATAGAATAAGTAGATATGACATATACAGGCCTGCACATAAATCAAACTATGTCACATATAGACACGTGTCAATATGTGTTTTGAATGACATACACATAGCCTTGTTTTGAGATTCCACTCATAAAAATAACAATCTGCATTGCCAATATCAAATGTGCTTGACAGCAGCACCCCTATACAAAACGTAATTAGCTCTATAATCATCAAGATTTTGAAACATGTTTACATTCCAAATTTCTGAATGCTTCATTTGTATCAAAATTTTACCACCTTAAATGCTACCCTGTTACTTAAAAAGACAGGAAGTCATAATCAGTGAGCAAAATGTGCAAGTGGACAGCATGCGTAACCAAGCTATTAAAGCGATGAAGGGTTGACAAGCTAGGGCTATGAACACATAGGGTATGTTAACAACTATGTTCAGTCTTCTTTAAAACAGAAATATTGCAAATACACACTGAAGATTTCTCAAGGCCCACCCCCAAAGTGGTGTCCATCTATATCTGCATAATGTTTCTTTAAATTTGTCATAGAAAATGCCTAATTTTTAAACTGGTTAATAAAGCTACTTATTAAACATAAGCTCCAAGGTACACTGTAATAGTAAATATTCTATTTGACCAAAAGTTTAAATTTTATTGTGCATTCTAAAACGGAAACTTTTGACTTTCGTTACCTTCTTATGGGCAGTCCTTGATTTAAAACCAATTAGAATTTCCATTGCTAAGCAAGGTTGTGGTTAAGTGAGTTGTGCCCAATTTTATGATTTTTTTTCCTACCATATTTGTGGTCATTAAGTGAATCATGTAGCCATTTCATGAATCCAGCTACACCTCCCCCCCCCAATTGATTTTGCTTGTCAAAAGCTGGCTGGGAAGGATCATGTGATTGCAAGTGTCAGTTGCCAAGCACCAAAATTTTGATCATGTGGTGTGACAGTCATAAGTGTAAGAACCAGTCATAAATTTTTAATGTTATAACTTTTTAATGGCCACTAAACGAAGGGTTATAAGTCAAGGATTACCTCTACTAGAATACTGGCATATGTACAAGTGTTATACCATCCTTCCATGGCAGGGTGTCAAACTCACATTGTCATACGTTGTTGTCATGTGACTATCGGGTATCGGGACTTTTCCTTCCTTTGCTAAACTGGGCATGGGCGTGGCCAACATGTGACACATCCAGACTGTGGGGCACGAGTCTGACAGCCCTGTTCTATGGACTTTCAAATATAGAGATGCACAAATATTGAACTAATGAGTTTTATCAGAAATGTGGTAATACAATGATTCAAATTCTCTCTAAGTACAAAAGTTTCACTCAGAAACCTAGGTTTTGCTCATAACACTTAAGATTAGTTTTATTGTATCTGTTGAGGGGGGAAAGCCCAACAAAATTCAAGAGACTTGCTTCTAGTTAAGGGAGTGCAAAGTTTGTAGATCTAGACCTTTATATTTATTGGGAGACCTTGACCACAGGCTGGCACAGCCCATTGGTGGGCAACAAACTGGAAGTGTGAGAAGCAAAGAGCTCATATGCACATTTTGTTTTATTATTTGCACACATCAATATAGTGAATGCTAAACTGTATGGTGTTAAAGTTAAAGTCTTCCTAACAAAGAGGGCAATTAAATAACTGAAAGTCAAGGTAAAAATAAATGCAGTGTCTTAAATTTAAGAAGATGAAACCCATGATGTTTACATAACTGTTGCTGGCTTTTTTAAAAAAAATATCAATCTACACAAAATCCTTCAAAAGTGCAGTGATAGTTTTACTGAGATAATACAGGAGATTTATATACTACAGATATTATCAAATAAATTTAGCATCCAGTGCCAATGAAATAACAACATGGCTATAATCAAAATTAAACAAAGTTGATAAATGGTTCCTCATAGCCCTGAGGCTATATATTTTAATTTCTGACATGTAATTAAGCTGAAAGATGGAGCACCATAAAAGACAAGGCAAGTAGCCAGTTTTAAGTAGGAATGTCATAAAAATAGCTAAATACATGCCAAAATCAATAGCAACAACCTAGCAGTTTCCACAAGGCAGACAAAGAACGTGTTATGTAATGTATGCACCTAAATGTAGAGACACAGTGAATCTCACTTGCACCAATATTTTAATACTAATTTCCAACTTTGCAAGTAATTCCTCTTCTAGCTGCAAAAGCGATGTCAGTGCAATCCTATATTTTTAAAGCTTTGGCACAGAATGAACCAATGCTTTTTGCTCAAATTGGAATTATGAATTATTTTACTCCCAAATCATTGTGAACGGGTAATACAGCAGGTTTCATAAGTGCACCCTTATTCAGGATTGCACTCAGGTCCAAGAAATATGTACAGGATGGAGATGCCACATCCCTGCCCTTGTTAAGAGGCTGGACAATACAGCAAGGCTTCAGAGTTACTGACTGAACTGAATGAAGCTCGGTTCAACTCTAAATACAGTCCTTATCGTTGCCATCTCTAAGCAAATAGTAGTCATATGACTAAACTGCATCATAAATAGATAATAACAGGCTCTAAGGTTCTTTTAATGTAAGAGGCCACTTTTTCTTCCAGGAGCCAGCCCCAAAGCAGAATGATTAAGTATCGAATGTAAAATGAATAGTAATTCTTGTTCTAAAGCAACTTTCCCCAACCTGATGCCTCCAGCAACCAGCTACCAATCCCATGTATGAGGCCATCTATGAATAATGGAATACTGTGTAGACCAATTCAACAGGCAAAGTTTAATGGGGAAGGCTGCCCTTCAGTATACAGGTGAGAAAAAGGAGAGGTGGGGAAAATGGGGGGGGCAGATATCCCTTTGCTAGCCGCACCTGCAGCCTTACAGGATTGTATTGTGACTAGACCTGGAGAGATTCCTTCACAACCCTACCCACCGTCATTGCCTTTGGTCCTTCCTTACCATTTTAAGGTGGCTCTGGCCAAACTGCAACCCTCCCCTTTTCCTGGCAAAGGCCGACAAGAGCCTTTGAAAATAAAAATAAAAAACAGAACAACCTGTTCTAGTCAATACGCCACATCAAGGCAAGAAGAAAGAGGAAATGAACCAGCCGGTGGGCAAGTGGAAGGAAGAAGAGATTCCTTCTGATGCAGAGCGAAAGAAGAGAACTTCAAAGGCAGCTGAAGCGGGAGCAGGAGGAGGAGGAGGAGGAAGAAGAGGAGGAAGAGGAAAAGGAGGAAGAAGAAGAAGAAGAAGAAGAAGAAGAAGAAGAAGAAGAAGAAGA